TCTTTTAAGTTAAACATATCCATGTAATAAGGCATCTGACAACTAACTAAACATACTAGTATATAAAAATCTGATAAACACAAAGAAAGTATGCTTTGTTATACAGTTGTATTAATAAACAAAAAATTACAGGTGGTATTATATCTATATATTTCTGACAACCAACTTCAAACGTACCTTATCATATTTAAAAATTCCTCCAGGAAGGTATGGATCAAACCTCTTCGTCCCACCTCTCATTAAATCGTAAGAGATTGTCTTTGATGCTTTGTAAGGCTTGTAAGCAGCAGCTACTAAAATGTAATGTGAAATTCATTATAAGAAATGTAAATAAGTTAATGTATAAACATATTTAACAAAGGCATCGGAAGCAATTTAAAAGTGGGGGGGGGGGCTTAACCAACAAAAACGTTGGGGGGAGGGGTTAACTCGAATTTTCACTGACTCTATTACGTCTATCTTTGCAAAAAAGTTGGGGGAGGGGGCTTAGACCCCCCGGCTCCGACGCCTATGTTTAATAAATCAATGAAAACAACACAGCATTACTAGTACTTAGATCAGTTTTCTTTTGCTGTATACATTTTCCAATGATTTATAAGTTGATATGTTAACTGAATCTTAATGCATTTTCTTAGCATTAATGGTGATAAAACTTACTCTTAATAATTCTTTAAAGGGGTGCAACCCTTTGTCCAGTCTTAGTGAACTGACCCATGGAATTTGTTTGCATCATTGTCCTGCATATCTCCGCCCTGCGTTGAAACCACTGCATTCACTAAAATGAGTGTTATATTTTATCTTGAAGAATGTGTATTTCAAAATTTGATTGCTAGCAAATATATAATCAAGCCTGAGATTGATTAATTAATTTTTCTCCTTTCCCTTCCAAAAGAAAATAGGTTTAACGTGGCATTGTATTCTGTAATACATAACTCAAATTCGGAAAAGTCTAACTAATCCCCTCTTAAGAATTATTTAACCCTGTCTTGTTAAGACCCCCTCCCACACCCATTCCTATTCCCAACTATGTTTTAATTATGTTTTGAAACCCTTCACACAATTTTAATACATGTAAATAAACCCAAGTTTTCAAACAATAAATCGCCCGCCTAATTCAAATGCCAATGAACTTTATAAACATATATATACACCTAAGTCTATAAGAATGAAAGATCTAAGATTCTAAATGCATATGTATTTAAAGCTACACTATATGATTGCTAAATATATAGACAATGAATACTATTTAAAATTTAACATACCAAACGTTGATATTTGAAAGGTATTCCCCTATTCCTTTTCTTTGTCTTACAAGAATGCCGCCGGGTTTTTCAAAACTGTGATTATGTTGACCTATATAGATCACATGGACATAGTTTGCAACAAGGATCGACTGCATCAGCACTGGCCATGGCATCCCGCTGTGTCACTCAATTAACTCTCGATAAACACATTATCGAAGGGGGAACTTATTTCCCATAGCACAAATAAATGACTCCACTGAATTTTTTAATTCAGGAACTTTGTTGAACAAATAAGTTTTTGGATTTTTTTTTACTCTCCTTGTTATATATAAATATTATTTACAATGGTATAAAAGAAAAATATGAACACATTTCCGGGTTGTTGTTGTTGTTTTGTTTTTTTTTTAATTTTTGGGGGTCTAAATTTAATTATCACAACTCAAAATCAATCATAACTCAAACTTTGGAGCTATTTATAAGAAAACAAAAGTTTTATATATTTATATACATGTATCGTCTTGCACTAAATAATTAAAAACTTCTTATGCTTGGAGTTGGTATTTCTGTAACGTTTTTACAATGTTTTGCAAACATTTTAAGACAATGTTGTATTCATGTTGTCTCCTAACATTTGTATTTCATGAAATTTATAATAATTATTACACGAAGTATTTTTTTTAATCATGCTATTCAATTTATAGCTGCGCGATATTTTATCATTATAGAAATTAATGTTAAATGCTAAATGTTTTCTCAAAACCTCCTTGCAACAGGAAAAAAATGTTATAAAAAACATTTTAAAAATGATTGTTAAGAACGTTTTTTAATAACGTGTTTACAACCAAAATAAAACGTTTTAAAAACATTTTATAAACGTTTTATTAAAAACGTTTTCAGATAACACCAATACAACGGGAATAAAATGTTATGAAAACGTTTTGTGCTACCTGGGTGCAGACATGCCTACCATTTCGCTTGTGGCGTATTTCTTCCGCTTTTCATGCCTAAATTATGCTTTTTGGCCATATAAATATCTTTGCGCTTTTAAAATATCATACTATAAAACTGTGTTATTTAGAGATTTTTAAATGAACTACTTACTTTTGAGTTTAAGTACGATATATCATGGTGCAAAGTCAAGATCTGATAAAAGCTTTATATACGACCTGTACTACAGCATATTCTACAAGCCGTGCATATCGGATGTTGATTTTATAAATCTCCAAGGAGCTTATAAAAGCTTTAAGATCACCATTTTTTTTTCAAGAGTCAATATCATCAAACGTACGACTTTTCTACACTTTACACAACCTATCCTTGGGATAATTTGAAATCTAGGACTTTTGGTGTAGAAAAACTACTTCATTAATTAAAATGGAACTCGGAAATGTTAAAATTGATTCATTTAAATTCATTCTGATTCCACAGACAATTACTTTGAATTTAAATTATACAATAGTTATTTCTATAAATATGGAATTTCGATTGGCACTAATTGTGCCCCCTTTTTAGCGGACCTGTTTTCCTATTCCTCTGAAGCATAATTTATACAAAAACTACAACATGAGAAGAAGGAAACACTTGCCGTGGCCTTTAACATATCGACGACGTTTTATTAATTAACAATAGTTATTTCTAATCATGTCAACTCGATATATCCCAATGAACTTGAAATAAAAGACACCACAGAGTCTGCCACATCTGTTTCATATTTGGATGTTTACTGACTATAGACTGAAAGGGCCAACTAACAACTAAGTTGTATGACAAAGGAGATGACCGGCTTCTCCAATTTTTTTTTATTTATATATCAATATTCCGCTATCACCTACATATAATGTTTTATGTGTCTCAACTCATTCGCTTCTCAAGGCATGCTTTGGGTATTTTCTAATTTTCTAATCGAGTCAGGCTACTCACAGAGAAATTGATGCTACAGGGATTTTAACAACACAGATTCACAGAATCTTTAAATGTTCACAGATTTGTATTTGTAGATTTTTTGAGATCTATCACTATTCGTTATCTTCACCTTTTTCAATATACATGTACATTAAAAGAGATTATATTTCCTAAAGATCGCAATACAGAAATGATATATACTAACTTAGAGGGTTTTCAATGTAAACACGTAGCACACATGCCAAACATTTGGCAGAATCATATACAAATGCACTATGTATTTAAACCTATATAGTAATATGTGCTATAAATATCACCCTGAGATTGAAATAGGTGTAATATTTAATGAAGTTTGTTTATGGTCTATAATTTTAATGCCCAGCTAAATGACTTTTTATTTTCTGTAACTATAAGAAACATGATTATAAGATTTTAAAGTCCAATTTCAGTCTGATAATCAAATTACTATGTTCTATCATTATGTCGTATTATGTTTGACAAGTTTCCCAACAATTGTGATGCCATTGTTTTTATACCATTATCACTAAGGGTAACTCCCGTTCACCTGAATAATACAGAGGGACCACGGTGGATGTAACCGTTCAACAGAGTATTCTTACTCCTTTTAAGCACATCCTCTGAACTTTCAAGCTTTGCAGTTTTTTTTTTATTTCTTCTTCATTTTAATTTTCTAGTACATATACTTATAGTATTTAGCCTCAATTTAGGGTCTTGGCCAAGCACAGATAATTATATTATATCAATTACATGTACCTTTTGGATAATTATTATGTCACATAATCATACATGAAATTCTTTTTTTTATGAAATCCGTTAATTTGGAAATTTTTCCACTTATCTTTTGTTATTTTTTAATATTGATTGCTTCAAATCCTACAATCCAAAGAGGCGAAGTAATGTTGCAGGTTGAAATGCGCCCCGATTGGAATATTCCCAACCACGATTTCAGGCAACTAATTGCACAAGACTAAAACAATATTTCATTCAGGGAGGTAAATAATATTTTTATCGTATGTTTATAAACTTATATAGAAAAATTATGTTGATTATGTAAACAACTCTGTGAACAACTCTGAACTTTGAATATATTTTCTTTCAGATTTTGTCTTCAAAACTCGAGTTTTCTGCTATGTTCAACACATTTACATGTACTGCAACCTTATTTCATTTAATGTTTAGTATTTAATTAATAAATGTTTTCCCTCCGTATTCATGTTTGTTTATCAAATTGATAAAAAAGAGAGAGAGAGAGAGAGAATAAAAAGTAAAATAAAAAATGGAAAAGTAAAATGGGATAAAAGTAAATCGCAATGGTACGAGCTTTTGATTGTTACTATTACTTTCCGATTAACAAGTTAATTTCTGATTAAAGGCAATCATATATATATATATATAATGATCAGAGTTGAAAAATTAGTGAGAAATATATTTGAAATATGAGACTGCAAGTCATTTTTTTTATATCCACATTCTATAAAATTACAAAGGCTTAAAGGAAATTATTCTAGAAATTAGATTTTTTATAATTACATGTAATTATTTATTGTAGAGGTGTTTTACATAGTAGACCTACTCTTAAATCAAGTTAATTTATTCAAGTATCTATATAACTGCTTGAATAATTTTTTCTAACTTATTTTATAACTGGTAATTTTTCCTTTATAAAGATTATTTTTCTTTGAAAATTTACACCCATCCCAAGAAACGAGCTAAATTTGGTATATGTATTCGCCCACGAGTAGACCCGTGAAGTACGGATTAAGGAACTATCATTAAAATGACGTAATTCCCAATTAACAACTGTAATTAAATCACAAAGACTAAAATATCAATATGGTAGTGATTGTCGAGAAAATGGAAATAAGTAATAAAATGTATATTTTTAGTGTCATATGTTTTTTTACAAACTATAAAAATATCATACTTCCTTTTGAATTGACATTAAAAAGCGTTTTGTTTCCTGAATTTATCAGTTTCCGACCAGCAGCTTCTTTACTGTGTTACTTAGTGGTAAGATTTAAAAATAAAAAATAGTTTAAGACTCTCGTTTACGGTATCTTTATGATTATGTTGGTGATTTTTTTTTCAGCAGGAAGCAATATAATGATTCTCCTGGCCATACTGATTTATTTGTCTGCAGCGCATACTACAGCATACGGTAAGCTAGAATTTTAAAACCGAAAAAAATATATTAATTCATTCCAGTATATTCAGACTATTGGTTGTACTTTTAACTTTTTAAAAATATTTTTGAATGTAAATATTCGAGAAAAGATAAAAATGAAACGCGATGTACGAGTTTTCTCTATTTTTGACTGATTTGTATAATGTTTAATGTCCCATTCGAGAATTTTTCACTCATATAGAGACGTTACCGTATGCCGGTGGCACTTGGGGCCAATTTGCAGTGAGGGTTCTTTATGGTGCAAACGCCTTCCATGACATGGGACCTCGGTTTATAAGGTCTTAAGCGAAGGACCCGTGACTTACGACGCCCTACCACTAGGCTACCGTGACCGATTTCTATCTATTCGAAAAATTAGAATCTACAAGTAGTTTCAGAAGATGGTGTCACTTTATGTGAAAACATTTGAATTTCAGCGTCTTCTTTCACTTTAAGCATCGAATGCAATTTAAGAAGAAAATATTCATGACCTACTTTCTAAGTTTTGAAAACATTTTCTTTTTCTGCTACTACAAACTACATCTCTTTTTACCTATACGTTTGTACATATGAATCACGCATTTTCGTTAGTATATCAATGTTCTTTTAATATATTGATCAAATTACTGTAAATCGTTTTTTATTCCCTAGAACCTTCCTTTTGTTTATTATACTACACTGTCGTATTATATATAACAATAACCAGGATTCGTGAAAAGTATCCACTAGCTTATCAAAATCAAATTCTTATTCAAGAAGTTGTCAAAATTTAGTTATGTACTGTGATGTAGCAAATACAAGTCTCCTTCAGAAAATAACCTTGAACTGACATGTTTATACTACAGGGTCAAAACAAGGTCACTTGGCATCAATTGTATCACTCAGAAAAGAAAGGTCATCAGTAAAGAATCTATGATTCGGTTTACAATACAACCCTTGTATCATAAAGAGCTTGATTATACGTCTAATAAGAATTTTGATTGACTTCGTATTCATTATACCAGTGCTAAGGAAACTCTTCATGATTTATAAACAAATGTTCCTTTCTTGATGCGTTTTGCCATCTTGTTTATACGCTTTATGATTATCTAATGATTATCAGAAAAGTTTAATAAACATTTGTTTTTTAAGATAATTTAGCTTTAGGGAAACCTGCATATCAGGATGATGAATGGCCTTATGAAGTTCGAGATCTCTGGGGGGCACAAAATGCGGTAGATGGCTACTATAGGGACCGATCAGCTTTTGGGTACCAGTGCACAATATCAAAAAACCACAAGTGGAGAGCGACGTGGAGAGTAGACCTACTCAGTATTGTCAGTATCAGTCACATCAACATCTACTTCAGGACGGACAACAGACCAAGTATGCAAACAGCTAGGCGGTATATTCTGACTACTGTTTGATTACTCCAAGTAAAGATTTTTTTTCCTTAATTGGTTTAGTACTTGGGATAGTATATAACTATAAATGGTTTCATAAATTTCTGAAGACTTTAAAAGATACATGTACTGTCACAGAAGTTTGAATAATTTTGGGAATATTTCTTTGACAATGATGTTTAATTGTTGTTCAAATAAAAAGTACTGCTTATGCGATATAAACTTTAAGAATATTAGAAACACTCAGTAATTTTCATCTGGGGTCCTTTGATTTAATTGTAATAAAGTTTTTTTTTTTGGGTGGGGGGGGGGGCAGTTATATAGGAATCACCTTGTCCGTCTGTTCGTCCAATCTTGTTCCAGCTATACTTTGTAATGGAGAAACACTGGAAGCTCTTACATGGTACAAAAATTGCTTATAAACCGACGATGTGTCATGCCCTTGACTTAAGGTCATTCCGGAAAGGCTGTGCTATAATTTGCTGGAAGATCAAATTTTGTACAGGGATTGCTTATGAACCGGCGGTGTGTTATTCCGGCAAGTTTAAGGTCACAGGTAGGAAAAGGATAAAATTCTTTTAGTTTTTAATGGAGAATCACTAGAAGCTCATACTGAGTACAGAGAGTGCTTATGATCCAAGGTGTGTTTCGACCTGACTCAATGTCATTCCGGCAAGTTCAAAGCCATCAGATGAAATTAAAAAAATCAAAGTTCTTGTCCGTATTATAAATTTAGATATTATAATTTTAGAGAATCACTTAAAGCTCAAACTAGATATAGAGATTGTTTATGATCTAAGGGTGTGCCTTAACCTTGACCCAAGGTTATTCCTGCAAGTGCAAGGTCACTGGCAGAAAAAGTATAAAATTTTTGTCTGGGCTTTAACTTTTTACAATGTAATGGAGAATAAAAGAAAGCTCATACTCGCTTGCAAAGATTACTAATGCCCCTCGGGTTCCTCATAACCTTGACACAAGGTCATTCCTGCAAGTTCAGGGTCAGTTGCAGAAAAGTATATGAAATGCAGTGTACAACCTTAATATAAAAGTGTAAAAGGTCAAATGTTTAGAAAGAAAAGAGGTCCAATGTAAATATTTGAAATAAGATCTGTAGCCCTGCAGACTTGACATTCAATGTACTTCTAAATATGCAGGTCTTCAATTTTAAATTCAGGCTTTAAAAGGTATAGAGAAAACAATATTCATAAAGTAAAATATGATCACATACGAGAAATTAATAAACTTTTTTTTGTACCGAATTACGTAGAAAAACATTACGTTAACTTTATTTCTGCAAAATGTGATAAAGAATCCGTTCTGTATATTTTTTGGCTGGTGTTCGAATGCTTTTCTTTACAACTGGTATCTTAATGGTAAAGTTATGTTAGTAATGTGTGTTTTTACTTTAAGGTCCTGGTTTACGGATTGATCGATTTGGAGGATTTTTCCTCTACGTTTCAAACACAACATCAAAAGACGACGGTCATCTTTGTTTCCACTACGTAGAATCGGGTTACGAGTCAAGATCTGAAGACAAGCGAATAAACTGCTCTGTTCAAGGACGATATGTTATATACTACAACGAGCGAAGGCCGGGTGTGAAGTATCCAAGTTATTATTCAAAATATGCACATACTGACTTGTGTGAAGTGCAAGTCTGGGGTAAGCTTGAGTAACCTGATTTATTTGTGGATTAAATTTTTCAATAGCAAGATTCTTTTAAGTAACCTTTTTTTACTATTACCATTACCAGTTTATTATTAAACCATTAACAGGCTGTCCCAACGATTTATATTACGGAGAAAATTGCACAAAACCATGTCCAAGTAACTGCCAGGGACGTAGGTGTGATATCATAACAGGAGAATGTCTGGGTTGTGCACCAGGTTATCGAGGACCTAGATGCAGTCAGAGTATGTATAAAGTAACAATATTGTATACATATTCTTCACAAACTCCTGAATTAAATACAGTGTCTTCCATTAACTGCTCATATATATTTCACCTACTGTTTAATCTCATTTGATTTAAATTTGATGTTTTTTTACCTATTCCTGTCTTCAGTGTGTGAAGACCAGAGATATGGACCCGGATGCTCTATGTCTTGTGGTCACTGTAGAAACGGTGAAACCTGTCACCATGTCAACGGGACCTGTCTCAATGGTTGTAAGGAGGGGATGGCGGGGGAGAAATGTGAAGAAGGTAGTTTAAAAAAGAAACAAATTCCTATAATACACTTGGCAAAAAAAAAAATCGAAAAAAATTACGTTACCTATTTAATAACTAAAACAAAAAATAAACCGCAATCTAAATATATACACTAAAATAAGTACAGCTGTACCTTTAACAAAGTTCATGTTTGATCGTTAGTAAATGTAACAATTGAAGTGCATGTCATATTACAAATTAAGTGCATGTAACAACTTTAAAACAGGCAACAGTTTAACAACGTTAGCCTATGTAACAGGGATTCGTTATCGTGCCAATACCTGCTGTAAAAGGGGGTCTCGAATTAAAATTAAACACCTGAAACTCCTGCGACTTTCACCTTAAAGAATCAAGCGCGTCGAAAGAACATCTTAGGTAACAATGTAGATGCATGTAATAAAATAACTTAATGTAAAATCATTTATGCGTGTACATTGTTACAACCATAGCGCATATTAAAATCTTTGTGCATGTACATTATTACAAAAGACAAAATTTCCATAGACAGTGCATTAGCACTGTACGATATTGGAACCGTATACTGACAATGGAGGACAACTGCATAACAAAACGTGTTTTCTTTTGGGAATTAAATCAATGTAATAAATACAGCTGGACGTCGCAAATTAAATTACTTTTTGACTTGGTGAATTCTGAACATGTTTATACATGTAATAGGTTACTACTCGTTAGACATTGTTAAATTTGAACAAAAAAATAGTTTAAAATTATGAGAGTGAATGGCTAGTAAAGATAAAACAACTACCTAAATTACGTTTGTGTAAAGGTTTCAAAACACATTTTAATACTGAAAACTGCCTTGAAATAAATATTCCAACATTTCAAAGATCTATTTTTGGTCAATTAAATGGAATTTTACCAATTAGAGTTGAAACTGGAAGATATACAGGAGAACCATTTGAAGATAGATGATTAATATGTAATTTTTGTTTTAAAGATGAAGTAGAAGTCACTTTTTAATTACATTGTACTAATTATTCGAATTTCAGAACAGATTTATTTACTTGCATTAAATGCAACCCCCACTTTGTCTACGTCAGATCTAGAAAGTAATTTTCCTTTCAAAAGAATTCTTATTCAGACATAATATTTAATTATATATATCATCCATGCACAGGCAATCTTTGTTGTACTAAAAACCCGCTATGCGTAATATTTGTGTATTTATATATTTCATTTTTTTTTGTTAAAAATGACATATAGGTCCGATGGGCCGGGTGTTTGAATAACAGTACATGTCACTATATTAAATGATTTACCTACTTACTTACAAAGAGCATTATAACAGTCACCATACATGCTACAACCTTCATAGCTTAGTAGAACACTCCCTCAATTATCGGAAAGTCATGAATTCTAGCTCCGATCGCCAAAAAACACAAATTAAAACACAAGTTGTCATACCTCTCCCACAAAAAAGCTATTGATCAGGATTAAAAAACTTCAGATTGAATTCCAGTCTTAAGGTTTTGAAATGCAGTATCGATAGAAAAAGGTAGCCATTGTTTCTTCGACGCGTACGTGAAAGATGCAGGGGTTTCTATTGAAATATATTAAATTTGAAACCCCGTTTCACAGCAGGGAAAGTCATGTTAACGATTCTTCACTACTCACTCACCTTGAGTACAGAACATAAGTCTCTTCACCGGCATACTGTGTGAGGTCTCGTATGCATGAAAAAAAATATTGCAGGGGAGGTAAAACTGTAAATAATCAAACAACGTTTATGCATATAAAAAAAATAAAATAACTTATTTTATATACGAAATATTACAAATCTCAGGGGTTTTTTTATTATGAAAAAATAATACCTAGTTATGTAATTAGACTACAATTTTTTTTTTTTTACTAGCATGTCCGACTGGATCATATGGTCTTCACTGCCTGACGAGCTGTAAAGAGTATTGTGGAGGAGAGGGGACCTGTAACCCGGTCACTGGGATATGTCACAGTGGGTGTAAGGAGGGGTGGACCGGGCCCCTCTGTAGGCAAGGTGAACCTAACAACTCAAGTTTACTATCACTGACTAGATTCTAAAATAGATTCACGGTTTTACTGTAACAAACGATTTTGCTAGAGCTGAAACTGTTTAATATTTCTTTGTTCTCTAATTCCTACAAGCATTTATTTTTAATATGAAAAGAATATACTATTTGTATATTCACATTTTACATCATTGATATAGAATAGGCCTATAACATATTGAGGATCTAGATCTGTAAAATATGTTGAAAAATTTAATAAATCAAAATATATGTATGTTTTACAGTGAATTCTATTTAACTTTTGTTGGAGAAATTTGAGCACTTAAAACTTATTTCACAGATATATAACTGTTGAAATATCTCAAAAAAGTTTGGATTATGTAAAGTTCATAGGTGTGCATGGAGTTCACATAAATGAAGTTTGAAGCCTTTTCCTTTAGAGTTAAATGTAAAATTTCTGAGCAAAAAATTCATGAATACATGTCTAGTATGCAATTTAAAGTACTGTATAGCCATCCCCTGCTAGCTATTTAAGATAAATAATTTGTTATATAAGAAAATTCCTTTATAGTTGCTACTTCATGGACCCACGGCTTGACCATAATAATACCAGTAGCCTCTGTAGTTGTTCTCCTCGCAGGATCTATCATCATCTACCTTCTTTGGAAGCGAAAACAACGTAACGATTTAATATCATGGATCTCAAACGTACCAGGTACAGTTTATATTCTATTTATGTTTCGTCAAATCTGAAATCAGAGTAATTCATATTTCCTATCGATTGTTAATGATCAAAGTCAATCTTGCAAATTAACAAATAAATTCAAAGTTCACAAAGCAGAAGAATAATTCTGTATTTGAACACACACACCCAAAATGAAATATATAAAAAAGAAAATCATGTCATATTGCGTCGATGAAAATTCTGCAATAGTTTACATTTAAAAAAAAAAAGTTGTTTCTTTATTTCAGTAAACAATGCTCCAAGAAGGTAACAAACTACATGTACCTTTTCGATATCGACTGATATAAAACTTAAATACCCGATAAAATCAACTTTATATTTAAATATCTGATAAACTTGGCTGATATAAATTTAAATATCTGATAAAATTGACTTTTAAAATTAAGAATTATGATATCGACTTATTTTATAATATATTTATAATATCTATCAAATGTTGATAGAGATTGGGATATAGGAATTTTTTATCTTTCAGGGAAACAAGATGTCAAGAAATTCCAATGTCAGAAATACAGAATAGAGGTTTGTTTTTTTTTGTTTTTTTACATAATTCATTCATTCAACCATTTGAAAGAATCATTTTTTTTTAAATTACAACATACATATTAAATGATTACAATGCTTTTGCATTCTACTTCAGAGCAGTCTTGCAGTGAAGAGCAGTATGTATAATTTATTATTTCACTTATCAATTTTAAGTTTCTTAACTAATGAAATAGATTCTTTTTTTTTCTTCGTTATTTTCATACTTTCTTATCTTTAACAATAGGATTATGTACCAATATAGGGAGCGTGATAGCGTCTCCGTTGCCAGTACTGAGGAATTGCGCCATTATTTTTAACCTGAAGGAGAATAAAAATGCTAAATCGGTATTCAGTTAAGAACACGGAAAGAACATTATCATGATTTAGAAATTATACATTTTAATGACAATCAGTAGTTAAAAATTAAGAAGACCAAAAAAAGAGTCTATATCACAAGGGGACATAGAGTTCACGCTACGAAATCTTCAAGTATGGATTACCTATGCTTAACGTCGAATTCTTAAGATAATAATTGATTATATGGATTTGCTATATTACATGTGACTTCATGTGTCTTATGGAGTTTAAAAATAATGAGGGCATTCTTATCAAAAGGCCCATGGGCAGCATCACTCATTTGAACACTTTATCTGAGTTCATAATTGAAAATTTTCAATATATAAGTGGTCGAACCCTGGTGTCATGAATTCAACAACCTTGAATCTACCTGAACTCAGGATGCTTTATATTCCTTTGACAAAACATTGCTTTAAAAAATTAAGAAAATTTTTAACTCACCTGAGCCGGAGGGCCAAGTCATAAACCAAGGGGGGATAATTACTAATTTGTGGAAAAAATAAGGGCATCATTTAAACATCTTCTTCTCAAGAAACGCTGTGCTAAAAAATATGAAACTAATTTGGAAGCATCCGAAGGTAGTAAAGATTCAAGTTTGTTCAAATCATGACCCCCGGGGTCTAAGTCTCATGAATAGCAAGGCCCATGATTAGTCATGGAAGCATCATCAGTAGTGTAGAATCAAGTTTTTTTTTTTCAAATTATGACACCAGGGGGTAGGGTGGGGTCACGATGGGCGATCAAATCTTCTTCTCAAGAACAGTAAAGCCATGATTAGTCATATTCATGTGGAAGCATTTTCAGTTGGGTAGAATCAAGTTTGTTCAGATAATGACACTCAGGGGTAGGGTGAGTCCACAATCGGTGATCACAGTTTTACATAAGAATGCATAGGAAAAAATCTTTAAAATTCTTCTCAAGAACAGCAAAGCCATGTTTGGTCATAATTATACAAGAGCATCCTCATGTAATATAGATTTAAATTTGTTCAAATCATGATCCCCCCTCTCGAAGAGTATAGAGGGGCTATAACAGGGGATCATAGTTATACAAAGGAATGAAAAGGATATATCAATAAAAGATTTAAAAAGAACAGCAAAGCCATTAGGTGACATATTAAATCAATTAAGATTCTGGTCTTGTAGATTAGTTTTTTTAACAATTGGTATTTACTATTATACGTCATAATTCCTCAAACATAAACTAATCCTTTTTGTTTGGGCCGATATTAATCTGTTCTTTGTTTTTAAAAAAAACTTTCCCCAGAACAGTGTTCTGAATTTTTTATCTTCGGCTTCCTATACGAATGGCGATAAACATGAAACCTGATCGGTCAAATCATAAATTTCCCCACTTGAATTTGGAATAAAAATATTTTTTGGCCAGCTTCACTTTATATCTTTCTTTCAGTAAGTAAAGTTATATAAATAAAAAAAAATTGATTTGTTCCAATCAGGGAAGACCAATCAGTTTTATAATTGTTGTTTTACTCGCTTTTCCCTTAGTGGGAATATTTCGAAATTGAGTACAATTTTTAATCAATTTTATACTTATATGTAAATATAAAATATTCTTAAAAAACATTAAGGATACATTTAAATCTTCATGCAAAGGAGTTACAGCATTATTTTTGTTTAAATTGTATTAAACCCTACTTAATTAAGGGTGAATTGCTTTTAAAATGAATTTTGGGTCGGTTGTTCAATCAGAAACTGTACATGTTTTTTTGTGAGATTTCATTGTTTAAGAACGCATTTTTTATGCCCCCGTAATCGACGATCCAGGGGCATATAGTTTTTGCCCTGTCCATCCGTCTGTTTGTCCGCAAAAAAACTTTAACATTGCCCAAACCTTTGAATTGGTTGGACATGTGTATTTCTTGTGACCATGGATTTTGACCCAATTTGGCAAGAATTTACTCAACCTTGAACTTGGCCTTAACTTTTGAACAGTTTGGGCTAGGACTTCCACTCTTCTAATGTGTATTCATTGTGATAAGTCCTCTCCATGGATATATATATTTTTGACCTTGACCTTGGAGTCCACTTTAAAAAACCTTAACATTGAACATAACTTTTGAACAGTTAGTACTAGGGCCTCAGATTTCACAGGTGTATTTCATGTGACAAGGCTTTCCTGTGGATTCTAAAAAAAATTGACCTTGGAGTTTGACCTACTTTTGAAAAAATTAAACCTTGGCCATAACTTCTGAATAGTTTGTGCTAGGGCTTTACTATTACACATATGTATTTTTTATGGCAAGACTTTTCCCTGGGAACCTTTACTTTGACCCTTTGACCTTGACCTTAGTGTTTACCCATATTACAAAACTTTAACCTTAACACTAACATTTTAATGATAAGTGCTTGGGCTTTCATATTTCACAGGTGTATTCATTGAGAACAAGTTTTTTTTTTCTTTTGGTAATAACATTTTTTATCCCTTCATCTTGGAGTTTGACATGCATTTGAGAAACTTCAACCTTTGTCAAAAACTGTCATACGGGGACATCAGTGTTTCACAAACAGATCTTGTTTTGTGATAACTTTCAGTTACAATCTTCAGAATTTCCCGTGTTTAGGGATTTAATATAACTGTATCCTAAAGAAATGTGAAAATTTCTGTGTAAAAATGGTATTAAAAAAATTTCCTTGGTTATATTTAGTTTTCATTTGGATCAATCATTTAGTTTACAATTTTCGATTAGACAAGCTTTATTTTTATTTTCATTTGTTGTATAACTTTTAGAATTTTGCCAGTGTCTCCGAATCGGAGAATTCCTGTGAATATCAGAATTGTATATCTATATAGTTTTGTAAATTTTGTTTTGATTTTGTTTACATTTTCCTCCCAGCTTGCAGAAAATAAACTGTTGTTTAAATTCATAATCAAGATCTTGATTTTTTCCCCGAAATTTACTCATGTGAAAGCCACAGATCTGATTGTTTTGTTTCATAAAAAATGTAAAATCAATGATGAGAAATTAATTCCAATGATATAATTTTCCGGAATTGGAACAGATATTTCTATATTGTCTGTACATAATGTACTCAATATCTTTATCCGAACCAGTACAAACAAACTTTATATATATATACAAATATATTTATACAATCGTGTCCCGTGTTTATTACATATCTACTTTGTTGTCGCGAATGCAGTTTAAAATTTATGAATATTAACTTCCTCCTTCGACTGAGTGCATTACTGTGGCCTGGAATAGGAAGATAAGTTGCACATTTCCTACTCTCGAAATCTATTTTCATTAAGACATAATGTGAGATGATATTAAAGGTAGTTATGTATTTCCTGTCTTTCGTGTTAGTATTTGGTAACAATCCCTTATTAACCATGTCAACCTGTCCACATCGAGTGTTATTTTGATTGTTTTAAACAGGATGGGCACAATTTCCTTCTTTAGTAAC